AGGTCCCCACGCCCAAGTAAGGAAGCCCACACGTGTGTTAGACATGCAGCCCAATCCCCATGACCCACGAACATTCACGCGTGCCTATACAGACTGAGTACATGAGTGCTCGAGAGTGCCCATGCACGCAGCCCACTATGCCCATATAGAATTGACCACACGTGCGCTGGCCCAAGAGGCTGAACACTCGCAGCCTGTGCGGTCAAGTCTGCACATGCGCACAGCATACGCAGAATGTGCGCACAGTGCGCACATCCCATCCGCTCGCATGGCGCAGGACTAGTCCTGCTCACATCTTATCACGCGTATGCAGCCATCCACACGTCACCTCATGAACGGGTAGGCGCCGCACATTGTATGTGGGCGTCTATGCATCAGCCCTACGTGGATAGGCCTTGCGTGCCTAGGGCCTGTACGCGCGGTAGGAGACCTGTATGCCTGCAAGATAGCCTGTAGTGCACCAGGGCACTAACACTTTGGGCAGTGCACTGTCTTCGCCTCGGGTAGCGCACCACCACCATTGGTGGAGGAGGCCTTCCTCCCTCGTTTTTTATGCTAAGCATCGTTTTCTCCTCTCTTCTCATCGAATTTTGCCACTTGACACGAATTCGACGGTTCCAAAATTCTATAAATAGGTCTTCCCATCCCATTCTTCCCCACACTTCCATTCTTCTATTTTTCTAGACTTTAAGAGAGAAAATGAAAGAGAGAGTAATCTAGTGAGAGAAGGAGAAAAAGAAAAGAGAAACGGTGAAGGAGAAGACATCAAGGTTCGGTAAGAAATTTAGTATTTCTTTCGATGTCTTAAGGGGTATTTCTAGATAAAATAAAATTATTAAATATGATGATTGTGATTTTGCCTACTTGTATGCCTTTGCATTTATAGTTTCAAATAAGTCGAATTGTTCTTATTTTCAAGCATGTTATGTGAATTATAGATACTTGATGATTTGCATGTAATAAAATATAATCTGAAGTTAGTATTATTGCCTGGTAAAAATAAAAAATAAAAAGAAAAAGAAAAAAAAAGTGGAATGAAGCATGAATGGTCTGAAATATATATCTATATTGACATGCATACTGCATCAAATGTCTCGTTAGACTTTTTATCTCTTAGGGGTATCGGTTCCCCTAGCCCTTCGGGGTATCTGTTTCCCCCTCCGTCATCTCGTCTACAAAGACATAAGAGGACCACTCCCAGTGGAAGACGATGTACCCTCTGACAAGAGTGGTAACGTAAATATCTGTTAAGGGTCATCCTTGGCTAAGTACTGTCATGATTGTAGATATCTGATAGGGCCACTATGGTTGGTACGGTCTTGGTCATAGATTGTACTATGGTTTGGCCAACCAAAAATGGGTCTGAACACATTGTTGTATCTGTATCTGATCTGATCATTCCACTTAGGTAGTTGAAAATTTGTATATGCCTTCAAAGATGCGAGTTGTAACGACTTCATGAATCATGACACAAAAATCTGAGCATTTCATGATTTATTTGATTTATTCATATTAATGTACTATTTTTTTAATAAATAAATTATTTTTATATTGCAAGATCGGTCTACGAGTTGGCCAAATGGTAAGCTTTTAAGTTAAAATAATTCACCTTTAAAACCTTACAATGTTAATTTAATATTGTTTTCTTTACTGAGCATATGGAACTCACTCTTTCCATGCCCTCTCCGTAGATGAGGAAGAAAATGAGGAACCGCAGGGTGACCTACCTTTGGAAGTCTATTAGGATCCCGTAGATCCACAAAATTTAAGTTTATGATTGTTTCCGCACTCTGATAAGTCCAATAGCATAGTGAAAGAAGTGGTATTCTTTTGTGGTTTGTTTTTTGTACTTTATAGCCACTTCAGGCCTCAGTTATATGTATGTAATTGGAACTCATATATATTTATAAGAGATTTGTATTAATTGTTCCGCTGCATAAAAGTTTATCATACACTCGTTATTCTGAATTTGTATCTGACACTCATTTGCTTTAATTAGCATCTGGGATGTCACATACCCCTTAAAGTCTATGAAGATTCTGTGGATCCATAAACCTTGAGTGCATGACCTGTCCTGCATTCTGATGAGTCCATTCACATAGTGAAAGAAGTGATTTTTTTATATTTTGATATTTTGTATTTTGTTGCCACTTCTGGTCTCAGTTATATGTGTAATTGGAACTCATATATTTTCTAAGGGATTTGTAATAATTTGCTCTGTTGCATATAATTATCTATTATGACTCGTAATCAATTTCTATATCTGGCACCCTTATGCCTTAATTAGCACTAGGGATGTCACAGACGCCCTCAAGTTGGTCCCTCTCGCTATCGAGTTGAAACTTGAAATTCTGAATTGCAATATTTTAACGCCAGAGATAGAAACCAAAAAAAGATCATTTAAAAACAAAATCATCAATAATTAGAACTTACTCCCAACTTTGGTTTCATTTTCCCAATATTTAACATTAGAACAAGAAATTAAATTAAAAAAAAAAAAGTCAATATATTTAATTATTCTAAATTTTGGTTTCAAAATCCTAAATAGTTCTCAACTCAGTGTGAAAGTAACACTATTTAGTTATATTTTACATTATCATTGTTCATTTTTTAAAATTTTCACAATTTTCACACTTTACTGAGGTATTACTTTCCCTGCATATATTATATTTCACATACCATTATATTTCACTTTCACTTGTGTTTTATTTTTATTCATTTACAAATCTTATTAGAATTTCATTTATATTTACATCTATTTTTATTTATTAAAGAGTTTCATCCCACGATGCTATTTTACCAGTACTTTTAGGGCACGAAAGATCCCCTCATAGCATGTATAAGAAACACTAATCACTTAACACTCAAATCCCCCATTCCAAATTTGTGTAATGGGTACCATTAAACACTTTCTCATCCACGTTTAGTATGGACTTTCCAGCCATACATGCACCCTTCGTCTCTCATGCATGTTAAATGGGTTTCATAGTTTTTTAGCAACTCTTTTATTTTTATTTACTATTATTCACAATTTCTTTATCATTTATTTAACTTAATTTAGATTAATCCTTACTCTATAAATTAATTTAGTCAATTTGGTACTATTACATCATTATTTACTTATTTTATTAAAATCCTTACATATAGAATCTAATTTGCCGAATTGATAGTCATTAA